GAACTCAGGCACAGGCTGAGTATACATAGTGCTCAGTTGTTCATTAGATATTCACACACCTTGAACCACCAATCCTATTTTGGGAAATTCCCTAAGGGAATAGTGCACAAGACAGCATAGTGTAGAAAAGAAATATAATAGAAGTGGAGTGTTGGATAGTGTTCTTGATTCCTGGGGCACTGCTACTTGTAGCATTTACACTCTGAGATTCATTTCTCTGTGTAAAACGTGCATGTTTTGTTTCACAGAAAAGGAAACGAGCCTACTGTGTTAGACACTGATGACTTTAAAGACAAGTTTAAAAAGATGAGATAAGAATAGACATAATTTTGCAGAATAATTAAGAATTGAGAAGGAAATGTGGAAGCGAAACTGGGTGGGGTAAATCATTAGCTTAAGAAAATTAGGATTCTGTGGAGAGGGACAGGAGATTTGAGGAAGGAGGACAAGGGAAGGGCAGGGGCGTGAGGGTGCAAATGATGAAGATGCAGTATGTACATGCACCAGTTCCCCAGCCACTGTGTGTCACAATCATATACCTACTAATAAAAAATTTTAAAAATGAGTACTGAAGAATGAGGCCAGCTCTTGGGAGGGTTTTTTGTTTTTTGAGGCAAGGGTTTGCTATGTAGTTTAACCTGGCCTTCAACTTACTATGAAGCTCAGGCTGGCCTCTAACACATAGCAATCCTCCTACTGCAGCCTCCTGAATGCTGGGATTACAGGTGTGCACCCCCATGCCTGGCATTTGTGGGTGTTTTGAAGAGAGGACATTTGGACATTTCATAGTCAGTGCAGAGGAAGAAAACAAAGTTATGTGAGCCACTCATCGAAGTCCCGAGGAAACTGTTGGAATGGATCACACCCCGGTGAGAAAAGCCCATCTGCTTGAGGAGGAGTGAGCTTCCCTGAGGAACAGCAGCAGGAGAAGGTTAAAGGTACAATACATTTTGAGGTGGTGAGAAGAAGATATAAAAGTTATCAGTGGGTTGTCTTGCTGACTGAAATAAGAAAACAAAGTGGAACATGAGGTTTGGGGAAAATGAAGAAACCTTCCTGCAGCGAATAGGAAGATGGTCGAGTAAGTGTGAGCACATTTACTGAGCAGCGCTGAAAGACTCAGCTGAACTGGAATATAATTTGAACGTTCATAGTTTGAAAGGATGACAGTGGGCTTACACTTTGGTTTTCTTCATTGCTCCTTGGCAGATCAGAGTGAAAAACAATCCTGGGACTGATTTGTCTGGGGTTGGACGCTGGTGCGGTGGGTGGGGTTTGGGCTGGGTCATGACTGTGACTGTCAGAGTTTCCGTGGTTGTAGGTGGGAGTGGGATTGGGAGGAATTGCTGCTCTGTGTACCAAAGCAAGTGCCAGTGTCTTCATGTTTGAACAATGAGATATGGCAGTGGGAAGATAATGATCATAGGGTGGAAAAGGGTTATTTTAATCAGATGGTTTCATCTACGAGAGAGAAATGGTGGTGCCAGAAGGGATGAGCAGCGGTTCTTAACCTCAGTGGACAAACAACACAATGCCATGATGACCATGCTGAAAACAGATGTGAAACATACAGACATGTTGGCATGCACCTCTGTGCCTCTAGCTAGTGACTTGGGTCCTTACAGAGCTGACACTTTTGAGCATCATTCATAGCTACTCTCCTCTATTTACTGACAACTGAGGTCCAGGCTGCTGATATCTGGGCCCAGTCATGAAGTCAGGTCAAGTATGAAAAGGTGAGCATATATTCAATCAGCAAATACTGATAGAAGGCACCAGGTTCTGCTAGAAGAAGATTCAAAGAGGGAAAAAGTGTGGCTCTATTTTTGTAGAAGCGCATGGTTGAATCCTGGGCATGTGGATATGTACCGTAGATTTTCAGGTTTTCAAAGAGAATGAGAGGAACCCGGAGCTTTTTCCTCTTGTGAAGTAATTGTAGCTAGACATAGAGACAGGGAGTAGGGAAACATTAATGAAGAAAGTCTGACAGTGTTAGTAACATTCTAGAATTAAAGAAGCATTTTGAAAAACAGAATTTATGGTTTTCAAGTAACATAGCATTTATACTTAAGAATATTTTGGCAAACACTGCGGTTAGTTTAATTAATATGATCTGGCTAATTTGGTCTGCAAGCAGTAACTGAAACACTGCTGATAACTGTGGGGAGACAGTCACTGGGAGATGTTTTGTAAGGAGGGGGCCATCCGGTCATCTCCATGCAGGACAGGCCCTGTATTTAGTGTTTTTGTCTTGTTTCTTGCATTGCTTTTCTCAGAGCAACCTATGTGTCTTGTATTTTACTTTTTTCAATAAACTGCAACAATTCACCAGGTAGAGCTATTTTTCAAATGCATCTGGGACTCCTACACTTTTCTTTGCTAAATTTGGTGGCCCTACTAAGAAATAATTCAACTCCTCCTGCCTGCTGTGACTCAGGCTGCTCTGCAGTAACTATGGTCACCCAGCCTGGTGGTCGCTTCCTGCTCAGAAATTTACCAACACTGAATAACAACCCAGCCTCCTGAAAATTTCACCTGCTGCTAAAAGGGAAGACTAGATCCAGGGAGGAAAGGCAATGAATTACACATTAATCAAGTAAATATTTATCAAGTACTAATCAGCTCCTGGCCTGTGCACTTCTACTGAGGTCAGATAAAACAGGAAACAGATAAAATCCCTGCTTACTTACGCAGCTGATATTGTGTCCCACCAGGGGAAATGCACCCTGTGCGAATCTCTTTGAAGTGTGAACTTCTGCTGTGTTAACTCCCCTGTCTCCTCCAGCTTCTATTTGGTAAATGCCTTTCGAGTACCTTGCAGCAGTGACCAGAAACGTCTGTCCAGCCTGATTCACAGCGCAGTTGTCGCCTCTCAGAAAGCCTTCCCTCTCCTTCCTTCCTCGCTTTTCCTCCTAGTCTAGGTGATCTTGTTCCCACTGCAACCTATGTAGCCATTAAATATAACTCTTGCTGTTCTGTGTGATATGCATCTCTTTACTTCCTCACTCCTTCCTGAACTCCCTGAGGGTGTTGTCTTGGCAAGTACCATTATTTATTTTTATTTTTCATACTGGGGATTGAACTTTGCACTGACCTGTATCCCCAGGCCTTTAAATTTTTTTTTTTTAAATTTTGAATGCTGAGTGTGTTGGTACACACCTATAATCCCAGCCTTCCTGAGGCTGAGGTAGGAGGATCACAGTGAGTTCAAGTCCAGTTTGAACTGAAGAGCAAGACCTTATCTTAAATTTTGTTTTTAAATTTGGAGACAAGGTCTTGCTAAGTTTCCCAGGCTGGGCTTGAATTTGCGATCTTCCTGCTTCAGCCTCCCAGAGTTCTGGGATTACAGAGCAAGCTCCAATTTAAATAGATAAGGCAGAACCACTCAAAGCTTAGCCCTTATTTAAAATAAATTCAAACTACATTTTCAATGCAACATATTCATTTAAGCCAGTCAAATAATTTTACTTTATATTAATACACTGTTTTCTGTTACATTACAACAAAGCCCCAAAGAAAGCCCTTGAAAACTTCCTGCAGGAATTTTATTCTAATTAAATACACACACACAAGCTTTCAAAGTTCATTATGAAAGTAATGCCTTTGAACTTCCTAATAATGACTTTATTCACTATTTTACATTCATCTCACTGCTAGAAGAAAGTTACAAGCATGGACGATTGTCCTGACAATTACTTCCTTGGAAAACAACATAGAAAAGCACATCAATCGATGTCTTGTGTCAGTCATTTTATGACCAACCAGAGAGGGAATGCTTGTGTTATAGACTCTGGCATCCAGTAGAAACCGTCTCTAGAAACCATCTCATCTTTATTCACAATGGAAACACAGCTTGGTGTTCTCTCGATATGCTGCACCTGGCACATGGCAAATCCATAGGGCTCTAAGAATGTCATCTGAACATGATTTCTTCTTCTACTATGAACATCAGTAGGATCTATGAGTTTGCTTAGGTTTTCTGAAGGTACCAGAATATTTGTCCTCTGAGCAGATTTCATAACCACATTCTTAGCATCCCAGTATGTTTTGAATTGGAGGCACTTAGAACATTCTTGCATTTCTAGTTTTGTTCCAGTTGGTATGTGTCATCACACATCTTCTCTTAAGCCAACTTTACATTCATCGTCTAAAGGATTAGCTTGAAGAGAAAGCCATGTGGTGGCCTCATCTCTGGTAGTGTTGTGGCTCAGTATTTTGCTCTCATCCAATTACTCATTTGCTATAGGCATATACCCCAAGAGCTTCTCTGTGTACTACATACATTGAATTGTTGTAGGAATTGTTGTTTGATTTTGGTTTCTTTAAAAGGAACATGACTATTCTGGGGCAAAAGAACACAAATAAACTTTTATTTTTTAGTTCTGCTACCTAGTATGTTTAAATATAAATATAGAAACAAACAGTATCACATTCCCAGTGAAGAAAATTTTCAGTTACCGCCACTGTATTTCATGTTTTGCCTCTCCTTGAGAGAGGCTGGAACTGTTGGGTAAATTGGTTTTCTGCCCACTTGCCTAGGATTAAACCCTAGATTACAGGTTTCCATTGAAATCTGTTCCACCTCAGACATTTCAAGTACATCTTCCTCTCATTCTGCTCAAGCTAAACCTGGAAAGTCTTAAACAATAAAAGGTGTTGTGTGATCAATCACAGAAGCCCCGCAAAGCCCCAGTTTTATACCTGATTGTATTTGAGGTCATCTTATACTAACACTGAACAAATAAACAAATAAACATACAAAACAAACAAATTAAGGTTGGCGGCAATTCGGGGCAGGGCTAAGAAGAGAGGTAGAAGTTACTTCAGGTTGGAGGGGAGTGTTTGTATATGTAATTATCACCCAGAACCCATTTCTTCCTAAGCTGGGGATAACAGCCAAAGTACATTCCCCAAACCATATCTGCTTTGGGAAAGGGTGCTCTGCTCTTTCTGCGCAGCTGGGTGTGCATGTGCATACTAATCCATAATGTCCTCAGTACCTTGATGGTTGCTGGTGATCATGCATTCTGTGGACCAGTCTTGGGGTATCACAGGGGCAACCAGCTCGTGGAACTTCTCCAGGGGACAGCTGTGGGTGCAGCCTGGCAGCGTGAGGGGATGAGGCTCATGCCATGTCTCGTTCCGGTAGTACATCTCCACGAAGTACTCACTGGTTTGGAAGAGCAGAGGAGAGTGCTCGTTAGTTCTGAATGTTGAATGGCCGCTGAATTTCTTTCCACTTGAGCTATATCAGGTCACTTAAAGGACTAGTGGAAGAGCTTGCAGGAAAGAGATTGTAGCCAATTTATGTGTGGGAATAGGGAGACTGGGTGAGGCAGGACAGATCTGAGGATGGAAATGGGTGATTTGGTTTATTAGGTAAACAGGGGGATGGGGGGAACAATACACTTAAAGAGCTGAGAGGAGATGGTTGGGGAGATGGGCGTGTCTTTGATGAGGCTTTGAACGTGAAACGAGAGGCAGGTGGGGGTCAGGGTTTCCCCTCCTTACTCTTTTTTTTTTTAATGCTTCTTATTTACTCTTTTCTCTTTTCCTTTCCCTGATTGTATATCCCCTCTCCTTAACTAGTCGATAAACATAAAACTGAATAAGATATGCTCTTCAGTAAATGGGAAGACTTTATAAAATTTATCCCCCAGAAAGATACGGCTATGTATCCAACTCTGGTGTCATATTAAGGAAGCTCCCTCAACCTTTATTTCAAAAAACAAAGTGCTATTTGGGGAAGGTCTAGTGGCTTAATTCAGCCTCAAAAAAACCAGTATGTGTTGCCTGTAGAAGTGACTTGCCAAAGAGACAGGAGAGAGATTCAAAGGGGTTAATGACCTTTCTTGGTGCAGTAACCTCACAATTCAGCTTGTTGTGACTGAGAGTGCGGTGGCGCACACCTACAGTCTCAGCTGTTCTGTAGGTCGAGGTAGGAGCCCAGCCTGGGTAATATAGCAAGACATTATCTCAAAGTAAAAAATAAAAATGAAATGAGGATGTAGCTCAGTGGTAAAGTGCTTGCCCAGCATACGTGAGTCTCTAGGTTCAAACCCTAACATGGCAAAAACAAAAAAAAATTCCCCAAGCAATATAATCATAATAATTGTAAATATTTACTTAGAAAATGTTTTTTGAAGCTTTCCTAATACATGAATGAGTATCTTGGGATAATTTTTCTTGTATCTTGGGATCATTTTTCCAGTGAAACATCTTTTATTTCAAGGTAATGTGGCTGAGGCCCCATTAAATAGTCCATTGGTATCATGGTGCTTACCAGAGAAGAGTGATGCCTCAGAAGTAATTACATTTCCCAGACTCCTTGGCACCATGTGTCTTATTTTAGCCAGTAAAAAGCAAGCAGAAAGGATATGCGCTCCTACTGGGCCGAGGTGGTTGATAAACTGGTGGCCTTCTCCGCCCTCTTGTTCCTTTCTATGGTCTGCCTGCTGGTGAGCTCCGCATGATGGGGGTGCCAGAGAGGGAACCCTGGATGCATGGCCACCACATGAGAACTGCACATAGAACCCCATGTGGACCTAGTGACCAGCAATACCTGACTGGACTGTTAGATAAGTGAGGGATTAACTTCCTCCGAGAATGTAAGTTTCCTTTACACAGAAGCCAGAATTACTCTAAAGTAATATCTAGAGAGCAATTGCGGGGGGGGGGGGCTCAAAATTGGTTCCAGTGGGGAGCACACAAGCTAAGATGCACACAAGAAGTCTGGATAAAATTTCCTAAAATGTAAAAATGATAAAAGCAATATTTTTAGCTTAACAGATTGCTTTATATACCCTGTTGTTTTAAATTTATGTAGTAACTACTCATCCATAAAGAAGGATAAACTTGGGACATTTCTAGTTAAATAGATGCCCGTTGAGACCATACTCTTAAGTGAAGTAAATTGGACACACATGTGTAAATATCCATCGTCTCTCTCTCTCTGGTGTGAGAAACTGAAAGTGTAAATAAGAATGAAAATGTATAATAGAAATTGGGAGATAAGAAATTGTTCAAAAGGAAAGGGGAACTGGGGAGGGGGGATGGGAAAGGAAGAGAGGGCAAATAAAAAAATGAGGAAAGAGGAATAAAATGTAAGCAAAGTTTTGTAAATAGGGAGGGGAAGAGGGGTTGGAGGGGAGAGGAATGCAAGAAAAAAAAGGGATCAAGATATATTATGTACAGGTGCAAATTCTCTATGAAGAATGTGATCATTATGTATATCTGAATTATACCAATAAACTTAATTTAAAAATAAAAAATTTGTAGTAAAAATTAAATATTTAGGTATATATTTACCTTACCTACAAGCTTAATAGTTTATATACTTAGGATGGTTGGAAATCTAAAATATTCTCCTTTCTGTCGTGCTCTTTTTCTTCTCATACAGAAAATGTGGGCTAGCTGACCATGGTCATGCAAGCCTATAATCCCAGCACTCAGGAGGCTGAGGCAAGAGGATTGCTGTGAGTTCACGGCCAGCCTGGACTACGTAGTGAGACCCTGTCTCAACAAAATAAACAAAAAAGTGGTATCACCTTATAGTAAGGATCATCTAATAAGCAAGTTAATGTGGATCCTCTTTGCTCCTAGTTTAAAAGCAGTCAGATTTAACCTTTGATAGTTCTCCAGTGTGTCAATGAAAAAAAAACATATAAGAACAACCCGACTGCTCCATGGCCCTAAATTTGTATGTGTGTGTGTGTGTGTGTGTGTGTGTGTGTGTGTGTGAAATTCTCTCAGTTGAAAAATATTCCAAATTTGGTTCATAACATGAATTTCTGTAAGGTGGTGAAAGAGAGTGATTCAGTGGGAGAAAATTCTGTGACACCCCAATAAAATGGCTCGGGGCCATGGGGTGCAGAAAGGAGGGAGGTACAAGAAAGTCAATAGCTTCTGTGACCTTCTCCCTGAAAAGACAGTGCCTACTTCTAGGACTGATCCTAGAATTTTGTCTGTATTTATTAACTCTCTGCCCAGAATTGGCCTTCAAATGAGCAGACTTCTGCAGGGCTTAAGAACACATTGTATGTTTTCAGTCTTCTCACTTCTACATCCTTCCATGGGCTGGTCTTTATCATGAGGCTCTTCTCTCCACTCTGCCTCCAGGTATTTGAGAGCAAGATTAGCTAGGACCATATTTTAGTTCTACTTCATCATGTTATCATCCATGTAAGGGTTCGGTGAAAGCATTAACTACCCCAACTGTACAGAACTCACTTTCTCTGTAACTATTCATTGAGAATGAGGTCTCTGTGTTGTTGCTTTCCTACTCTACAAATTCAGAGATCTAAAAACTTACATCTGCAATTACAACATTTGCAAAGTGAAATGCAGGGCCCTCTTGCTAAAAAAAAAAAATTACTGTGAATTTCAAGATAGCGACAGCAGAGCACTGAAACAAGCATGGGGTCTTCTAAACAATGGGATTGTGTGACTGCATGCTCAGGCTGGCCCTGCCTGCCTACAGCTATTGTGAATGCCGGCATGGGAGGGAAAACTATACCTCCCAACCAAGTCAGAAAAAAAACTTTGGGAGTACTATTTTAACCTGGTCCCTTCTTTGCTTTTATCCACCAACCCAAGAGTTCTGGTGACATTTCTCTTTCCAAGAAAATGCCAATAAAAGCCTCAAGTTTTTCTTTTTTATACAGTGGAGTAATACTGCATTGTATAAAAATACCTCATCTTTTTTTCTCCATTCCTCTGTTGATGGGCTTTTGGGTTGTTTCCATGATTTAGCTATGACAAATTGCACTGCTATAAACATGGGTGTAAATATATCACTGTAATATGATGTTTTTAGTTTTTCTGGAAAAATACCCAAAAGGGGAATAGCTGAGTTAAGTGGGACATCTAATCCTAGTTTTGTGAGGAATCTCCACACTGATTTATGCTTACATTTTTTTTCTTGACCAATTTTGCATGTTTATATCTGATAATCTGAACAACTAATTTGAAGACAATATGCAGTAGAACAAGCATTGTTGAATTCCTACCATGTTGTTTAGTGAAGCTCTGTATCATTTCTAATGTTTTATATTATATTTTATTCTCTTTAATTGTTCAATCAATCTTGCATTCTTACATCTGGTAATCTGAGCAATTTCCCTGAAGATAACAATATGTAATACAACAACCATTATTAATTCCTATCATCTTGTTTTGAGATCCTATATCGTTTTTATTGTTTTTGTATTGTTTTACTTTTGTTTTTGTTATTATTTTGTTATTGTTTTTTCTCCTCTTTAAAATAAAAGCATCATACCAAAGAAAATGCCATTGTCACACCAGATGCAAATTCTTAGTGTGATGTAGTTGATAGTAACAAGTTTTTCCTGGTTTGCCCCAGACTATTCCCATTTCAGCAATGAAACTCATGTTTCAGGTGTCTCTCAGTGCTGGGTAAACTGGGGCACTTGCCCTCTCTTTGATCTTTCTGACGAGGTCAAGCTAGTCATCATGGAGGGTTACACCAGACCACAAAGAGGTAAACATTGCTCAGAAGTTGTGCTTTAAGCATCTTGACTGGTAGATATGAGTCACCAGAAGATGCATGGATGTGTTTGAAGTCTTTAATTGAAAGACTACTATTACGTGAGCACCACACAACTTAATTTTTCTCTTGGCATCTTTTAAGCTGGTTTTCCCCCCAAGACAATAATGTATGTCTGCATAGTTCTAAGACTACCTCAATGTTTTTAAGAAGAAAAATCTAATTTTTGTGACTTAGGATAATTTGAGTGACTTAGGACTCAAATTTTTCTTTTGCTATGCACGTAAATTACTTCCCAAATCTTTTAAAGCTTCATAGAAACAAAGAAAAAAGAGCCACGATTACCAAAGATACCGTTACACCATTCTTCCCTCTGAATATAAAACCAAACCTGAAGGCAGGCACAACCCTGAAACCCACGATAACAGTAATAATTACAAAGCCTGGGCACAATGATACTGACTTTCAAAAGCACTTCTCAGGTACTTACCTCTTTTCAAGGTACAATTCCATCAAGTGACAGGAAGCATAAGGAGGTAGGATTCCATTGTAAACATCCAGGGCCATTTGTAGGCCACTCACAGTAGTGTCATGCTGCAGAGGGAAGAAACAAATCATTCTTGATCTTCATCTCTGGTTCAGATTTACATTCACAAGGCATCAGCACTTGTAGGACACCACGATGATTTCTGGTTCAGTTAAATCTCCAGTACTCCCAATCACTGGTGAGTAAGAAGGTAAGGGCTAATTTGGGTGAGCATCATTGTGAGCTATTTATTATTTCCATGTCAAAGATGAGGAAAGGAAGACCCAGAGAAATTAAGTAACCTGCTTAATGTCACGCAGTTCAAAGACAGAATAAAGTAAATTTGAATCAAGTCTTCTGGTTTTAAATCCTGTGCCTTCACCAGGATGAGTATATCTCTGCTTTTGCTTATTTCATTGATTTTCATTATATTGTAATTGTATTTTTATCATAACATTTGATTTTATAGTTGCAGAATAGTATATGAGGCCATAAATATGTAGGAAGGCAGAAAATATGAGGAGCTAAAGAGTACATCTTAAAAATAGTTGTAAAGTTAAATGTTTGCCTCAGAGTGGCTGGAAGGCACAGAAGAGTGTTTTGGGCACTGGTTGGCTACCTAAACTTAGGCACCCTCAACTTCCACATCTGTAAAATGGGGATAACATTTGACTGCCTACACTGTATGCCAGCATTCATATATTCAAAAGTGGTTAGAACCAATTTAATAGAGAAAGACAAAGAGTGACTCATATGACTTGCTAGAAGTCACTCAACAAGTTAGAACTGTAAAATAGGTTAGAAACTTAAAAAAATCAGCAGAATCAGCTGATTTCAGGCCCATCTCTCTCGAAGTACTGTTCCCTGCTTTCTCCCTAGTTCTACTGTTAGTCCATTCTGTGTAGAGATATTGACAAAAAGCAAACTTCCCTGTGTCTTCATTTCACTATTTACTTTCTTGCATGAATGAAAACATGGCTTCCTCTACCTGAAGCACAGCTTCCCTTGCAACCTGGCTCATCCTTCTTGCTTTCCTGTTGTCGTCCTAGTTTTAGGCCTCATTCCCATTTTCTAGCTAATACGTAAGCTTGCTATACTATATCCAGTCAGTCATGCTATGGGAGGAATGATTCTTTTGTTTCCTTGTTTTTTAAAGACAGGGTCTCGCAGTGCAGTTCAGATTGGCCTTGAACTCACAGCAGTCTTCCGCTTCAGCCTTCCAAGTGCTGAGATTATAGGTGTGCACCACCATGCCTGGCTAGGAGGAATGATTTCTGAAATATGCCCCCTATCCTGTGATCCTGCCGGCCTCCCCTGAGAAAATGCCTCAGGACTTCTCCCTGGCTTCATTGTTCTTCTGCATTGTCCCCAAGAAACACAGGACAAGAGAGCTTTAAGCTGCCTTCCAGTTCAGACATTCTGAAGCTCTGTATCAGGGATGTCTAATAAAACTTTCAGTGATGATAGAAGTGTTCTATGTCTATGCTGTCCAATTCAGTAGCCACTGGCTGTATGTGGCTATTGCACACTTGAAATGTTGCTAGTGCAACTGAGGGACCTCATTTTTATCCAGGTAATTATAATTAAACTGAAACCTACACATGATTGTGAGGTTCCGTATTGGACAGTACAGTCAACGTCTAATGTAGTTTATCCAGATAATGTTCCTGGCCTTCCACTTCTGCCCTAAGAATTCCCTTCATGTGAGGTGTCCCTTACTAACACCTTCCACCTTGATGTGTTGATGGTTGTCTCATCCAGGATGCCTCCGTGCTCCTCTTCCCCACCCTCCTGCAGCAGACAGGATGGCTACCTTTTGTAAGCCACCAAAACATTGCTTGTATGGCATTTCTGTACTGGTTTGTATGGTGTTTACATGTCTATTTGTCTTTCTCTTTTTGGCAGTGCTAGGGATCAAACAAAGGACCTTGATCATGCTAGGCAAGCAGTCTGCTAACTGAGCTACATCCCCAGCCCTGTTTGTCTCCTCAGTATCAGTGTTAGACTGTAAATTCTTCAAGGACCAGAATGGCTTATTTAATTCTGAAAGCTTTGGCAGAAGTAATCACTGTCTGGATGTGATGGAGACAGAGATGAAGATAAGGCCCCTGCATACCAAGACAGTACACTCTTAAACAAGAAGATGTTAAATGAAGACAAAAATACTCACTGCAGAGTACATGATAAATTTTTTGTACTTTTCTGGCTGAGTTGCACTCTTCATGTGATTCAGGATTTCGTTAACCAGGACACCTTAAAGAAGACAGATTAACAATTCAGCTGAACAGAGCACAGGCTTATATTTTGGTGTAAGAGCTTTTTGTCTGCTCATAATTGAGATTTTGACTGCAAGGATTCAGTAAGAAAGGCAAAGACCTAATTTTGTTTGAGCATCTGCAGCGTGCTAGGTAACATGACTTACACAAATGACTTTACTGAATCCTTAGCCTGTCCCTAAGGAAGCTGAAGCCTAAGTACATATCATGTGCCTTAGACCTCTGGGAAATCAGAGCTGGATTGCTGGATTCTCTACTGGGTTTTGTTAATGCTCCAGTTAGGAAGGAGGCTGATAAACTTGGGAGGAGCTCCAGATCCCAAAACAGTGTTTAGCAGGGATCTTTGCCCAAGCAGACCTGGAAGGACAGCATGGCAGGTACTTCTCTGCCTCTGCCTGCTCCCACACTCTGGCGGTCGGACCTGTGAGAGGCCAAGGGAGAAAGCAGCTCTCCAAATGTGTGCATAGATCATGGGTCTTTTCTGTGGGGCATCTCTTTAGGTATCCTGGGGTCACTACTGGGCTGCAGCAAGTGTTTTATCTCTCTTATATCATCTCTGTCATCAGTAGAGGAGGACTTTTTGCCTCCAGATCGAAAGACCTAACTCTTGTTGCTCCTGAGGCAGTGAAAGGCGACACACAGCTCACGCACTCCATCCTATTTGCAGTACTGAAGCCTGTACCTCGTAGGCCATTATGTGTTTTCTGTAAGACGGTACTGAGGATTTGCACTGAACTGTCTCCCCAGCCACTTTTAAGAATTTTAAAGTGTAAAAGGTCTCACTAAATTGAGACAGGGTCTCACTAAATTCCTAAGTTACCCAGACTGGGTTTGAACTCGAGATCCTTTTGCTTCAGCCTCCCAGAGGGCTGGGATTACGTGTGTGTGTGTGCGTGTGTGTGTGTGTGTGTGTGTGTGTGTATGTGTGACCACACCTGGCTGCCAGAATCTATTTTGAGGCCATGCTGCTGCCCCAGAGACTCCACAACTATTTCTATTGAGGATTTCAAAAGAAATTCCTTGTGTCTCCAGTGTTCTTGCTACTGTGTGTGGGTTCCCCTGGCCTGAGAATGACCAGTGGGGTTTATTAACTTTTGATAATAGGCGGGCACTGATGTTACTGACTGTACTGCCAGACTCGAGTCCACTCAAAGTGAGCAGCTAGGATGCACAGACACCGTGCTAGGTGGCTTACACAGGGCATCTTCCCTCCGAAAGCTCATTAAACTATAAGGAGAGGAACTGCACAACAATACTCACAATATTTCTGCAGTGGCTGGATTTTACTGGATTGTGAACACAAGAAACTGGATACTGCATCTCTAATGGTTCTAAATCTGCCTGCCCCAACAAATATTGTCCTCTACAGTATTTAGGGACATTAGCTTGATCCTCATGCCATCTCAGTACCAAATTCTGTTGCCAGGTGTCTGGAGTATTGACAGCAACTTGCCTTTTGTCACAGATGCCTTTGGGCAGATGCAACCTTGGTAATGATTATAGTATCACTCTTGTCATGGGCTATTTCCTTTTCCCAAGAATGAGGTGGTAACACTATTATCTCTAGGCTCTGGCGCATCAGTATTCTGTCCTATAGAGGGGGAAACTAAGACTCAGGCTCAGCAACTTACCCAAGATTATACAACTTGTAAGCAGGAGAGGTGGGCTTTGAACCCAGTATATCAAAAATCTATGTTCATAATCATTAGACCACAGTAGCATAAAATCAGCTTCTAAGTTCCCTGTGGCATCGTTTACTAAGTGGGTATACACTAGATATACACTTCACATCCTTCATTCCTGAGCTACAGTAAAGCTGACAAACCTTTTCCATTTGCCAGATAACAGCCAGATGGAAAATATCTTGGGCTTTGTGGGCCATAAGATCTGTCACAACTTTTCAATTCTTCAGTGGTAGTGTGCCAGCAGTCATCAACAAGGCATAAATGAACGAGTGTGCTTATGTCAGTAACTTTGCTTACAAAAATAGGAGTGGGCTGGATTTGGCTTGTGGGCAGTAGTATGCAAACCCATGGTCTACATCACGAGTGGATTGATATATGATCCTAAACAACTCTTGGGGATTTTGGGGGGTATGATTTGTGTCCTTGCTGAACAGCATCATTTCTGAAACCAACAGAGTTCTGGCAAAGGCCAGAGGAAGCCGGTCATAGCCCTGATGTTCTTGTATTCCATGTCACCCGTACAATGGATGTTTTCTGTGTTTAATTGCTTCATCATTACACAAGCATGTAGTTGGCAAATCTCTCTTGCCTAGCCAGATCTGAACAAAAGGCTGAGCTTGGGCTTTGGCAGAATCATGCAGGAAACAGTTTCCTGGCTTATCAGTGGTGCGTGACCGGCTCCAAAAAGAAGGGCAGGTGGGTTCCCATAAATACCAGCCTTTAGAGACCATCTCAGGGTAGGACCCTTGTAGACACAATCTAGTTTACTCCCTTTCTCAGACAGGGAAAGTAAGATCCAGGGAGGGGAAGTACATTCCTCGCATATAATCCTCTAGTAGCTAAAGGAGGAAAAAGGAGGAAACATCAACAAGCTCTTAGGCCAAGCCCTTTCCTTATTTACACATGTGTCAGCCAGTATCTAATGTCAGATTATTGTCATCTCCTGTTTTGTGTAGGGCATACTGGGATTTAGTCAAATGCAGATTTTAGTTCAGCTGGCCTGAGTAGGGTCTGAGACCCTGCGGGTTGAGTCAGAGCTGGGAGAAGCTAGTGCTGCGGGACAATGGGACTACACTCCGAGCAGTGCGGGTCTGGATCCCTGTGTCCACCATGGTGAGCTCGGCGGAAACACGTCGAGAATTCCACCTCTGCTGTCTGGTAGGACTGAGCCACAGGCTGGTGCCTGCGGAGCCAGAGATGAAGCCTGGCGGTTATGCGACCACAAGTGGCCTTGCATCTTTTGTAGTAGAGCACAGAGAAGACTGAGCTTCGTCCTGGGGCTTTCTTCCACACAGAGCCTGTATCCTGCACGGTAATTATGCCAACCTCCAGGGCTCCATCTAAGCCTCCTGTTTGGATATGCTCCACACCTCAAGGGCTGGGCTTGTTGTTCATTCCCTCAGTGGAGACAGGGGCTTGAACGTTTCTATCAAGTCTCTCTCTGTGCCGCACAAGCAGGACTTCTGTAAGAGCAGGTCTACAACCTCCTCACGTCATTAACTGCCACTGCCCTGAAGGATTAACCCCAACCTACTTTGTTCATCTCACATGAATTTGCTCCTGACGAGTCTGGTTTCATACCTCATTAGCTGTTCTCCTGGTTACGGGCAGCCTGCTGTCCTGGCTGTAGCTGGTTCGTCCTCTGGTGACGTGAACTTTCTCTCTAGTTACACAACCCCGAGAGAACATCCACCCCATCTTCCCAGCCCCTAGAACGCTCTTTTGCAGTCTCTTGGGGTTCTGATGAACCTGTCCTGCCAGGTGGGAAGCAGCACCCGGCAATGGCTAGAATCCTGAGGTGATTGTATTGGTTTCCTCAAAATGTCTGGAATGTATTTCCAGCCTGACTTGGAACCTTTCCCTAAGGCCTGGGTTTCCCCACTAGGTCAATCTTTCACATGATGGACCTTCTCTTGCTGTTTATCTTTAATTGGTTTTAATGCTACATTAATCACATGTGAGCCACACCTAGTGTCTTGGCCTGGCCACTCAGCAGCCCTGACCTATATGCCATTCTGCCTGGTCTTGGCTTCTTTCTTAAAACTCGCCTGGCCTGATTACAAGGGTGCTACGGCCCACTGCCTGGGTCTGCCTTTATGATGGCACGGTGTCCCAGGCTATCAACAGCCAAATTGAACCAAGAAGTGGCATCACTGGGAAATAAACCTCAATATGTCTCAACACCAATAAACTTGTCATAGCTTATCAACTGCAACAGGTGTTAATTTACAGTGCACAGTTAGCCTGCAAAATACCTTGTTACTTTTAACAATGCTTGCCACGCAGGGGTTCAGGGAAACAAGCCACTTTTGTCAAAGCTCCCATGTGAAAAATTCATCCTGCAGGCTAAAGCAATTGATTTTCCTGGGACTTAGATACAAATCACTGATTATTTCATCTGGAAGAGATGGAAAGGACAATTTAGCTTTAGCCCAAAGCTTTTATTTTCCAGGTGGGAAAATGAAGGCCCAGAGTGAGTAATACTAATGATTAGAGTAACACAACATTTACTTGTAGTACATTAAGTTCCAGATGCTGCCTGTTCTAAGCTTTTTGGGTACGTATATTCATTTTAGCCCTTGCTACCTGTGACGTAGGTATTACTATTGTCTCCCTCTTGTGGAATGGAAAAGGGTGCAAGAGTGATTGACCTGTCTGAAGTCACTCTATGGATTTGGGATAGGACTGGAACACAGAACCAGATCATCCAACCATAAATCCATATACTCCCCTCATTTTTAAAATACTTACCCCCTTGGAGTCTGGATTTCTCTTTCTGCTTATGTATTCCATAGAGGGACAGGAGGGATAATTCTGATAATTCTCTCAATGTAGTCATGGTGTCCTTTGTGGCCCAGGAGGGTAAAGTGAAATTGTGAACTCCCTGTAGCAAATAAAAAAGAAGAGAATATGTGTGCATTTTTTATGATAATCTTTTTTGTTGACTTTGAAAACATTCTTCAGCTGGGGGTCGTGGTGCACACCTGTAATACCAGCACTTGGGAGGCTGATGCAGGAGGATTGCCACAAGTTCAAGGCCAGCCTGGGCTACACAGTGAGTTTTAGTCCAGCTTGAACTACAAAGCAAGACGATATCTCAAAGAAAATGAAACCATCCCCCCACCCCAAAAGAATGATTCCCTTTCATCTCTAAGAGCTATGGGGGCTAGCCTTTCTTCCCCTGCCATTTCTTTCTAAGAATTTATATTATGATGTGCAGTGATACTGAATTTTTAGAAGAAAAATTTACAGAAACTGACTAACTTGCCCCTTTCTACCACAACCACTGGCTTAACTCTAGGTCAGTGTGTGATTCTTATTTTGTGGAGCAAGTGTACACTATGGCAAAGATGGACCATGTTCCTTTAAGAAAAGTTTAGAAACCTTTCTATAAGTCTGTGGGGAATGTAAAGTCCAACAGGGTTAGATGACATTTCCTTAAAATCCAGATGAGGCCAGTTAGGAGAGGGAATGTATTTCTGGAGCCTTTGATAACATATGCCTGTCCCTACGAATTTCTAGTTTCCTGACTTGGATGGTTGGTACACGGTAAATAGTAGGGCAGGTAGAAACCTTGCACCAGAATCATTACCGGTTAGGGAGGGTTGATTAGTATTCCCCTAGTTTTAAATCCTGTGGAGGAGGAAAATGTGGAGGGAGGGAGAGATCATGAAAGGGGAGAGCAAAGTGAAATGATAGAGGAGAAATAAGCAAGATACCACAATCCGTGGCCTCATTATGGAACAGCTCAGATTAAGCTACAGCAAGGAGCTGGAAGTGCAGCTCAGTAGTAGAGCACGTACTTAGCATGCCCAAGGCCCTGGGTTTAATCCCCAGAATAAATAAAAACACCATACAAAAGGAAGAAAATATAGAGTGGAACTAAGGAGTAGGTTCTTGTCTTCACTGAAGATCTTTTACAAGGGTAACAAATCTTCACTGAGATAGATACTGAAAATAAAAGTGAAAAAATTGAGAGAGCAGCATGTAGCTGGCTCAGTCAGCTGCCATGGGTTGGGGAAGCTGTGTCATCTTTTACTGAAATGGAGCTATGGGTGCAGCTTTTTCCTCTATGCACTGGTGATGAACTCAACTCAGAAGCAGCTATCAGTCAGGTGAGTAGTTAGAATTTTGCCCAAGGTTTTGGTGCCCTGGTTGGGAAAGTAGGGACAGAAAATCTTCCTTTCTGCCAGAAGATGGAGCCTCATGAACAAAACCCACCAAATATCCTCGGAAAAAAAAAAAAAATTATTTACAAAGATTATTTCAAATAAATGTACCACACAGAGAAAATGATCTGTCCTGATACATCAATTTTAATGGCCTGGCTTATAGCTGGCTTGTTTATTTCTGTATCCAGAAATCAGGCAATTTTTATCTCCTCTTTCTGTATCAGGTTTTTGTTTTCATTAAAGCCCATGACAGAAACCCAGCATTCCTGAATGACTGCAAAATAAGTAAGTGATGATGTACAGAAGAAAAGCAATTTTGTTTCCAATTTTCTAAAGAGTGAAAACATAAATAATGGAAAAAAAGAGAAGTCAAGACTACAAAAGGAAATCTTGAATTATGTGTCAGTATCAAAGGACATATGAGCAATAGGCAGAAATACAAAAATAGAAGAAAAATGTACTTTTCTGTTTCAAAATAGGCATAAATCATAAAATCAGACTGAAAATTAATCTTTGATTTTTTTCTTTTACCTCACAATATAAAGGATCGTAGACTTTACTCCAAATTGCAAAAAGGTCCTGGCCTTGGAATCCTGAAAATGTTGACAAGGTTTTTATAAAATCCTGGAACAAACACAGAGAAAAAATATTTCTATATAAATATTTATATATGTGTCATCTGCAGCATACAGTATTTTGATATTTTGGAATGGATCTCTTTGTTGTGAGGAGCTGTCCCACGCACTGTAGGATGATTAGTAGTATCCTGGCCTCTACCCAATCCACGTTACTGGCATTCCTAATCTTCTAGTTGTGACAGCCCAAATTGTCTCCAGACATTGCCAAGTGTTCCCTGTGATGTGAATTTGTTCCCAGTGAGAATTTCTCTTCTTCACAGAAAAGTGCACCAATAATATTGGGTATGATAACGACAAGCAAAGAATTTCATGTGCACACACTAATTTGTTTCTCATTAGTACATGAAAATTGCATAGAAATGCTGGCTTAAGGCTACATGTTCCTTGGGATCTGACTGAAGTGCTCTGCCTCAGGTGCTTTTTAGAAGTGAATGAAGTGTAATTCACATATAAGTGAATGCACCAGGTGAAAAGAGAGAGCAGAACTCAGGCCAAGGCTTTCCAGGAAAATGCAACAGGATCTAGACCTGGTCTCTGGCCATAAATGAGAGATCTGGGTGAAATGCAAACATTTCACTAGTTTCTATGTTCTTAGGTTGTCATAATGGGACTCGTGCAGCTATCTGACTACTGAAATTGGCAGCAATGTCTGGGAAGATTTGGAAGATATTATTTATCTGATGAGTAAATTTTCTAGGAAACTATATTTTGCCAATATTAACCCCAACAGATGTCCATAAAATAAATAGAAATAATTGCTAAAGAGCTCCACATTTCTCCAACCCCCAAACACAAAAGCTCCAAGGCCAGATGATGATATAGAGGAAGAAATTCTGCCCAGCTTTTCAGAGTACAGTGTTTTAATGCTGCGTTAACTGCTCCTGGGCATAGAGAAAGAAAGGAAACTTTCAACAATTTCTGAGTTAGATGTATCATTGATATTGACAAAGACTATCCAGAAACTGAAACTATAGTTTAATATCCCTTGTAAACATCAGTGTAAAAGACCTAAGTAAAAATTAGTAAATTCAATGTCACATTTAAAGAAAATGACTTGATTTGAGAATAGTTGAAAAATTTTGATTTTTTAAAAAACACTTGTGAACATCGAGGATGGATATTCCTTAATTTGATAAAAATATATGTATTGCATTTTGGTTTAAAAGCCAGCATGATTAAAAGGAGAAAAATGTATCATCAAGAATAAGACAAGGACAGCACTATCATGTAACCTTGTACCATAAGTATTGAGCAAAGCAAAAGACAGAAATCAGAGGTGTAAATATTAGAAAGCTAAAGGGAAACTGTCATTAGTTGCAGATATTATAAACATGGAACAAATTTATCAAAAGATGTATAGGCTAAGGAAACAACTCTTAAAATCTTTGCAATAAGAACAGGAAAAACATGCTGTATTCATGAAAAGGAAGACTTACTATCGAAAAGCTACCCATTTTCCCTAAGTTAACTTATACATTTAATGTGATCCCAACAAAAACATTAACAAGTTAAATATTTTTGGAACTACAGTATCTGAGACAGAAGTTTAAAAGAAAATAAAGATATAGTCATGAAAACTCAGAAAATGTACAGTCATGAAGAAAGAACAGCACTTTAGATATTAAAGCACAGTATAAAGCCTGAGGAGCTGAAACCACGGTTTTGGCTCGTAAGGACAATCGAATTGACTAAATTGACAGAAACAGATTCTGTATATAAGGGAATTTAAGTATGTAATAGCTTAAGAAAGTGGTGAACTTTTCAATAAATAGTAATAGGACAGTCAGATAATCTGAGAAAAAAAACATAAGCGGGATAAGAGTGTCAAAACTCACACCAGGGGGCTGGGGATTTAGCTCAGCGGCAAAGCGCCTGCCTGGCAAGC